AAAAAAAAAAAAAAAAAAAAAGAGGAATATCATACATAGGATTATTTTCCCATGTCCAACAAAGATCGTTGCTGGTGCTGGAAGGAAGTTCTGTGCTCAGTGACATGAAACCTTGGATCACACTCTGATTTATCTGACCCGAATTGCTCATCTCTAGTGAATTTTTTTTTTTTTTTTAATTTTAATTAATTTCACTTTGCAAAGAGCTGCTTGGCAGCTCAGGCTGGCTCTCTGGTTCCCATTAACTTTGTGTTTCTTTCCTCTAAGCCCTGGTGGCTGTTTTCGATTTACCAAAAGCACGGGGAGGGGAGAGAAAAAGGCGCAGGGAGGAAGGCAGAGGCTCGGGCTCCCGGGACAGCCAGCCCCGCGGAAGAAGCCGCTGGTATCGGGCAGGACACTGCTCCTCTTTGATTAAAGCGTTTGGCGGCTTTGATAAAAGGCCCTTAACTGCTTGTGCCACTCAGGCCGTGGCAGAGATAAGGACAGGCCATCGGGCCTGCAGACAAGGCCGCCCTGGGCCTGTCCCTGCGCTGTGGCGAGGGCCACGCAGGCCGAGAGGGGCCGGGGAGCTTTATTCCAGGGCAGATAGCCGTGTCTTTCGTGACAATAAGAGGAAGTGAGATAATTGGGGGATTGAGGGAAACCACCCATGGAGACACCACTTAGCGGGAATCCCAAAACTGGAAGGAAACCTCTGTTGATTCCTTATCACGTTACAATGCGGAGGCGAATGATGAATTGCCCCGCGGGGCTGGGACGCGCAGCAGTCAGGGATTGTCCCGAGGGCCGGCTGCCATTTGGGCCAGCTTGTTTTGGTTAGTTTTGGAAAAAGGGGAAAGAGGAGAGGTGAGAGCTCAGCTCCCAGGACAGAGGAGCTGTGAAAGGACTCGCAGGAGCTGTAGCTCCCAGTGCTGAGGAGGCAGCACAGGCTGGGACCCTCTGTCACCAGCAGCGGGATTTTGCTGCAGCCCAGCGCCTCACACCCACGGCAGCGCAGGGTAAAACACGCCACACACCTCTGAGCTGGGGACACTTCGGGCACACGCTGCACCTCCTCATTCCCTGCCTCACAGCCAGCTCAAGGCCAGCATCCACTTCCAATCCCTGCTCTGACACGTTCTGTGTGAGCACAGTCACCTGCTCAGCTGGAGGGGACAGAAAATGCCACCTGTTTTTCCTTGTTTGCCTCAATCTCGGGAAAATATTAGGATTTCTCAGTTTTTGTTTTACTTTGCATGCCTGTACACAGCCCACGTGCTCCTACAATATCCTAGGGATTCACCAAGGATGTGGAAGAGATTTCCACTGCTGCCCTGCCTCCTCTGCCAGCACTTCCCAACCTTAGACTGTGTGTCTGCACATCCCAGTGCTCCAGGGGTTATGTTGCTAAAAATAATGACATGTGTCTGACTGATAGGGCCGTGCAGGGAAGCGGGAAGGGATCTGCTGAGGGGAGAAATTCCTGGTGCCCTCAATGCCATGGTGCTTGATGCCTTCTGGTAGCTTTTCCATGGAGTAAATCCTAAGAAAGGCAACGGGATTGGCAGAGACCAGCTCTTGCCCACCAGTTTGTGTATCCAGCCCTGGAAGTCCCCTATTCTTTTTCCAAGTAAAACCGACCTAAAGCTTTTGCTATCTCAGTCCTACAAGTGGTGCTGAATTGAAGCATTCCCTTTGTTTTGGGAGAGTAGGACAGATACCACAAACCCCTTGCTCCTGCCCAGAACAATTATCCCATTGCTATCAGGGGGCTCTTCACACCGGGATGAGCCGAGCAGTCAGTGGAAAGCCCTCAATTTGATCCCTAAAGCTGTGTCAAAGCAGGTCAGTGGCAGCAGAAGGGAAGGAACATGGATATCATGGGCTTCAATCCCAGGCACCCTTCATTAGCCCGAGCATTTCTGCAGACAGAAAACTGTCTCCCAACTGTGAGACAGCCCCGAGCTGAAAACTGGGCAAAATGCAAACTGTCAAGGTATCTCCACTTGGAGATTAGCCCTGTCTGAGGGGCTGCAGATAAGTCATCTTTATCTTCAGCACCAGCTATCTTTCCAAATGTGGATTCACAGTGTGTGAAAGGCACTGCCAGCCCCCCAAACAGCTCATTCCCAACCCAGCAGAAATGAGATTTTAGAGTTTCCCAGCCCAACCTGGGGGAGCTGCCCACAATCATCATGCCCCGTTCATCCTCCAGTATCACTTATTGTGTTCTATTTTTGCCAAAAAATCAACTATTGGAGGAGGGAGAAAATGAAAGTATTTTCTCACTGAATATCTAAAACATTTTCTTTCACTTTAATGTTTTTTCTGTCCACAAAGGTCGTTATCCTTGGAGCTGTCCAAGGGGGAAACATCAGGAAACAATGCTGACAGTCATGTTAGGAGGGGGAAAACACAAAGCAGGGAGCAGCCAAGCTCTGACCTTTTCTCTTGGTGCAGTGGTAGATCTGGCTGTGCTCCTGGGAGATGGGGTAGGGGTTGGCAGGAGGCAGCAGGTCCTGGGAGGTGCTGGACACCCCGTTCTCACACTGGTACTGGGAGCCCAGGTTGGAGGAGGCTGAAAGGACCCTGGTCTCGCCGCTGAAGGGGCTGTGGTTGGAGGACACTTTTTGTCTCACTGTGCTCCTGGGAACAACTGGGTACTCTTTACTACAAGTGAAGAAATAAAAGAGAGACAAGTCAGCAAAGCAATCAATTAATAAATAGATCAGAGGATTAATAAATGAAGGCAGCACATTAGTGTCGTGGAGTTTGTTTAGGCTTTCAGGGAAATGGAGATATCCATCCCAGGAGGCTGCAGCCCTGTCACACTTTATCCATTATTCCCTTTCCTTTTAGTCCCCTTAAACTCATGCCTTTTCCACCACCACTATTTTATACCCACACATAAAACAGATAAATGCAGTTTTAGCAAAATAAACAAGATTTCTATTTACATATTGTAGCATTTATAAGCTGTATACTGTTTGTGATGTATTTGTAATATGCACATGCATGTAAATAAAAACGTAATTTCTGCCAAGTTGACTTGGAAATTAATTAAATATTTAGGTCTACTTTTTTCCACCCTTATAGTAGTTGTCCCCATTCCTTTTGTCTGGAGTCTGTCAGCATGATTGTCCTGGATGGGGGATCCCTGCACCACAGACCAAGCTCAAAAAAGAGAAATAAATCACTGAGATTTGATGCGCACCAGAGCCTCAGCAGAGCCAGAATGGGAGGGAAGCCTGGATTGTTCCCTTGTCCCCAGATCTGGTTTGAAGTCGGGATGCTTTGCTAACAAGGCTGGAAATCCCCTCTCCTCAAAGACCCTGTGGTGTTTATTGGAGATGTTTCTCCAAACACATTGGCAGTGTGGCAACCCCAAAGGTGATTCCTGATCTGCACGGAGAGCTGAAGCTGAATAGGGGGTCTCAGACAGTTCAGGTTGGGTAAAAGTCTTCTCCTGAACCCAAACACTTGCTAAAATGTGTAAAGATCAGGTAGTACAGCACCCCAAAGTGTCACCAAGCTCAGAGCAGCCACAAAGTGCTGATTCCAACACAAGTTTTCCCCTCTGAGTCTGTAACAATTGGATCAAGCTGGCTTTGATGAACCCCCCCTCACGTGTCCGAAATCATCATGCTGGAGCAAGGACAGCTCCTTAAACACCATCCACAGGCTCACCTGGCCACTTCCATGCAGGAGAGGAGCCCTGAACCTCCAGTGACACCCCTCAGGGAGGACCTATCACTGTGGAACTCAAAACTTATTTACAAAATTTAACAATAGCAATCATATAAACCTACCCCAGCAGGGAGCTTTCATCCAAACCACTGCTGTGGTGGCTGCCAGAAACATCAGCAACTGAGCTGGAACAGAAGGGAAATTCATCCAGGAGCTCAAACCCAAAAAATGTGGCTCTGGTGGGGTCACAAAAGCTTTCCCAACCCCGGGAATTGGGGGCTTGCCAAGGAAAGCCTATTCCAAAGGTGGGGTTTCATCCCCTGGAAGCAGCATTTGCTCAGAACTAAAATCCAGGCTGTGCATGAGGAACAACAGAGATATGGACCAGGAGGAAGCAGAGATTTATCCCTCAGATATTCAGGGCAGCACTGGGTGCCAGGACATGTGGTGGGATTCAGAGGACCTGCCTGTGGACACCCAGCGCTTAATTCCACCAGGAAATTTAGCTGAAGGGCAATTTTGGTGGCTTCTGGAGAAGGTCAGACCTCAGGAATCCCTCAAATCTTCTGTGTTCTAAGGGATCTCCCAGCCCTCCCAGGTCATAACTTTGAGCTGCCTGTTCCACCTTCACTGTGATCCACAATGCAAATGGTACCAACATGACAGCCCTAAGCTGCATCCCCACCTTGTTTCCCTTCCAAGGAGATCATCTGCGAGGAGGTGACTCCTGGATGTGTCCTTAGCTCTCCTTCCTGAGGAGAGGCTGCATGGACTGGCTGGGTTCATCTCTCTTAGCCCCACACAACCAACATCCAATTCCCAAAAAATGTCAGAGCCTTGTTTTGTTTCCCAGTGGAAGCTTTGGCGGAGGAGAAAGAAGGACACCTCCAGGCACGATGCCAGGCCATGTGGCACGTCTTTTCCTGGTAGATTTGGCCATGGTGGGTAAATCTTGGATGAAATCCTAGAGGTGTTTTCCAACCTCACTGATTCTATGACCCTTTTAAAAGGATGAATCTTTGGAACGTGATCTCTGTGGGGGTTTCTTACCATAAATTCTCAGTGGGACCCCATAAAGGTCACAGCCTCGCTGTGCCAAGCCCCACACAAACACTGAGGAGCCATCCCCACCCCAGATACTCCTCACCCAAACCAACACTTTTCTCTCCTTCAACGGAGAGCTGAGAGCAGGGAAATATTACTAACCTGATTAGGGATTTTATTTCTTGATGAAAAACCATTTCCCTAGAATCATGAAGATCAGAGGAGACCTCCAAGGTCAAGTCCAACCTTTGATCAACACACTGTCAACTAAACCAGAGCACCGAGTGCCACGTCCAGCCATTCCTTGGACACCTCCAGGGATGGAGACATCACCACCTCTGTGGGCAGCCCATCCCAATGCCTGACCACCCTTCCAGAGAAGGAATTCCTCTTGATGGCCAAAGTGAAGCTCAGCTCCTTTCTTGCCAAGAAGGAGCTGTTTGTCTGCAAGGGCAAGATTTTTACCCCAAGCGCCAGAGCACAGGGGTGTTGGATTCCAAATTCCTTCCAGACTGCATTTCCCAGGGAACAGGACAATCTCCATGGCCAAAAGGGGGGACTGGGACAGCAGGAACTGGGAGTCACACAGGAGAGGGAACAGGTTGGAGCCACCAAGTTTCCAACCAGCAATTCCCGAGAGGTATCGCAATAACTTCTTTCCAGACTGAAATATTTCCATTTCAGTCAAAACATGTTGGGTGCTATTTTTGCCAAAAAATCAGCAATTGGAGGAGGAAGACGAAGGAAACTATTTCCTCACTAAATATCAAGAATATTCTCTTTCTTTCGCTTTGATGTTTTTCAATTCACAAAGGCTGTTATCTCTCTAATTCTACATATTCCTCCTTATAGGAGCTGAGCTGAAATAAATCTTTGGTATCTTCTAAAACAACAATCATCTCAAAATATTTCTATTTTTTCCTAAGCCCACTCAATATGTAGAGTGCACATCTCTCATTTTTAAAGACTGAAGGACAAACTAAAATTATCAAATTCTTTTTTTTATTTCTACAAGTCGCTATTCCCAAAGTAGAGGTTGTAATCCTGAGCTGTAGTTTAACAGAATGAAAACTTTCTGTCATATCCAGAAATTTTGCTGTCCAAAAAAAAAAACCTGCAGCAAAGTAAGAAGGGGGAAAAAAGTATTAAACTTCACTTAAGCAATGTAGGAAATTGTCCACATAGCAAGGATGAGGTTGTTGATGCTCCTGGGCCAGAATGTTAGTTTTACCTGGGGTGTTTATAATTTGTCTTCACTTTTGCATTAAAAATTGCAAAACTAAAATAAGGTTTTTTAAAAAGTTGATTGGGAAAAGAATTTACAAGTGAAAACCTGTTCCAGGTCTATTTAAAGTCTGCCAGATGCTAATAATGACTATCTAGTTACTATTCTAAAATAGCAGAGGGGGAAAGGGAGGAGTGGCATAAGGTGTTGTGTAATATTTTGATTTTTGTTAAAACTTGGGGAAAGAAATCATGGATGAGGTCCAAGACCATCAGTTGAGTCTGGACTCTGTTCTTGCCTCCCACCTGGCCAGAGGTTTCCCAAATCCACAGGACTGGACAGCAGCTCTGCAGAACTTTCCCAATAGCACCCACATTCCACTTCAAAATCCATCATACAACTCCCACCGTAGAGATCAGGCCTGACAAGTAAATCCCTCCTGCAATTCCAAACCCCACCTCTGCCAGGTGGAATTGGAAACTCAGGCTCGTTTTTTCTCGTGACAATTTCCCCTTTCCCTGGACAAGTGATGCTCTCACTATGACAGACTCAAGAGTTTTGTAAGGTCACTTCTGCCACAAACTTGTGGCCAGCGAAGAATTCAAAGGAGCAAATTCAAGATGGTTTTGCAATCTCAGAACCAAAACCTTGTTGGCCGCAGCAAATTAATAATAAATGGAAAAATTATAAATACAGACCTGCACAGAGCAACATCCAGTTCACTTTCTTGCTTATTACTACAGTCTAAGAGAACAATAATTTTCCATATATTTTCATGTGCAAAGCTGAAGTTTCCTGATGTACCAGCCAAGGCATAGTAAATGCAGCTGCCAGACAAAAACCCAGTTAAAAACCTCTTCAAAATACACAGTTTAGAATCAGGAAGCTCCTGCATTGAAGCACACAAACCCTACTGGCCCTAAACAAGTTATTTTAGATGTTCCTGATATTTCTGCAACAAAACATTGGATACCTCAAGGCTTTCCAGAGCTGCTGTAGCTCATGGCAACAAGGCTTCAAAAGACTCATTAAATATCAGATCCCAAGGATCTGTTGGAGGTCAAAGTGAAGCATGACATGGGAAAAGATTTCCTTTCCATGTTCTTACAGCAGCTCTGGAAAGCCTTGAGGTATCCAATGTTTTGTATCCTGAACCGTCTAAATCTTGTTCACAATATCAAACCTTAGTCTAAAACCTGACCTGAGGATGAACACAGGGAATCCCCTCCACTCTTCCCAAATTTCCAGGAGATTTTAACTCCTCCGTGGGCAGTCCCAACAAAAGGAGAAATATTTGTCACCCTATCAGTGCTGTCCCCTCTGCCCAGCACAGAATCAACCCCCAGTTCCAGATGTGCAAACACAACTCAGTGGCTTTGGGGTTTATAGTTCCCAGGCCACCAATTGTTGTCCTTCCTGCTGAGGCTCAAGAGCAGGGAAGAAGTGCAAGTCAGCCATAACAGACACAGCAAAAGAAAGAAGGGGAAAATAATTGTTCCTGGAATAAACAGATCATCTCCCAGGAAAAAAAAAAATAAAAATCAAACCAAACCAAAACTTGTCAGTGTGCATTCATTTCAGCTGATTTCCAGCATATTGAAATAAAATTGAGCCACTCTCAAGAGGCTGCCTGGAAATGGATAAACTACAGCAGGAAGGGAGGTGGTAGGAGAGGAATTATTGAGTACTTCCTGCAGTGTCAGCCTCTGATTAA